TTATCAATCTGTAATAAAAGACGTGAGGAAATTCTGTCTTTTTTAAAGACAAAAATTTTTGAGGCGAAATACCCAAAAAGAAGTTTGTAAAAAGGCATATTCTGTCTGCCTCATCATTAGCTTTTTATTCTTATTAAAATCTGCTTTCATTAAAATGATGCTCGTAACAAAAAATACATTGATTTTTATTTAAGAACATTACGTCTAGCTGCTTTGAACCATAAAACTTCACGTGCATAATTATGGGGAACGGTTAAAAAGAGTTTGTTTGGTGCACTTATTGAAGTATTCTTGCATCCTGGCACAAAACACCACTTATTTTGTGATCCATAGATGTCACTATTTTGCATTATGCAAGATAATAATATAATCAATAAAATAATGATAATCACAAATAATAAAACAAAGCTGCGATAACAACAAAATAAACACGAGACACTTTGTTGATATGACCTGCTACGTCACAGTCGTGATAGGCAACCGACGATACGGATTCGGTGTTTTTCGCGAAAAATATCTGATTTAAAAATAAATTTTTGCAAAAAAATTATATCAGTGTAATGTTCACCATAACTACTTTCTATACATCAACATTAAAAAAAAAATGTAAACACCCTATTGTATCCATGAGGATATTGAACAGAGACCCACTGAGACTATTCCCCCCCTGTGTGATTCCTCCTAGTATTGGAATGCTATTTGATATTTAGTTTTGTGATTTTACTTTTGTTGTGCTGTGATATTATTTAAATTGTGAATTACTTTCGTAATGTTTGCTGGTGTATTCCTTTCTGTTAAGATCTTGATGATGTCGTCTAGACGCACCCTATCAAACCCCTTGGTCAGATCTATGAAGCATATATAGGCCGGTGTGTTGAATTCTATAGCCTTTTCTTTTATTTGTTTGACATTGAATATTGCGTCTGTTGTTGATCTGTTCCTCCTAAACCCCTGTTGTTCTTCGCGGTTTTCTATGTGTTCTGCTAGCTTATTCTTCAGTATTCCTGTAAATAGTTTCATTGTAGTACATAGAAGAGTGATTCCGCTGTAATTGTCTGGACATGTCTTCTGTTTCTTTTTAACGATGGGAATCGTGATGCTTTGAAGCCAATGCTGCGGTATTTGTGCTGTGCGCAGAATATTGTTAAACAGTAAAAAGGTATGTTGTCTGGTCCCGGATTTTTCTTGTTTTTCAGTTTCTTCAATTGATTGATTGAAGAAACTGAGTAGCCCTCGGCAAAAATACCGCAAAAAATTTAAATGGGAATTGTGCGAAAACTATTAATCCCACCGAGTACAGCTTTTGCACACATAAAGCATATATACAGGGTGTGCTAAAGAAACTTCATTCTAATGAAAACTGTACAAGTTAAGTTTGACTGTTAAACATGAAACTATGGGAGCTCGTGAGATTACTCAGATCTTCTGGGACACTGTATACCTATTTTTTTGGTTGTATATAATATTTGAAAGCTACAATTTAAATGTAATATTGCTCTCTGTAGTGTACGATCTGACAATATTTCTATGACAAATTTCAATTATATTTGTTTACAGGTTTATAGTAGGAGTGATTCATCCTACAAATGAACTTTTATGTTCTGATATAATTCCACGGTGGGCAGTGATTGGGTGGTTGCTAACAACCTGTACAAGTAATGTTGCTGTCTCCAATGCAAAGCTCGCTCTATTTTATGATTGGTTATTCTACGATGTTGAAAAGGTAATATAAATAATTAAGTTAAGCATCAGATAAAAATAAATAATGTAGGGGCATTTTCTTGATGAATGATTTCGGATGAGGAATATCTATTATTAATTCATGTTTTTCTACTTCTTCCAAATCATTCATGGATATTATTTTTATAGTTATTTACTTTTGCAGGATAATATTATGAATATTGAGCCAGCCATTTTGGTAATGCACCATTCAATGAGGTCGCACCCAGCTGTGACTGCAACCCTTTTGGATTTTCTTTGCCGAATAATTAATCATTTTTATCCTCCGTTGTCTGATAAAGTTCGGACTGGAATTTTTAGTTCGCTTAGGCAAATTCTCGATAAACGAGTGCTCCCTAGTTTAGTACCTTTATTTGACAACTCAAAATTGGATAGAGACCTAAGGAACATGGTAAAAGAGACGTTTAGGGTTGGTATACATATTTTGCAGCTAGGAACATAGAAAATAACAGCATTTTGCAGGAGTTTTGTACTGAGCCTTCCAATTTGCATTCGTCAAGTTCAACGTCACGTGAAGATTTAAACAATGTTAATAAATTCGAAGATGAGACAATAGAAATTTCCTTGAACAATCATCTTTTAGATAGTGAACCAACTTTTAGTGATGATGATGATGAGTCGGAATTAAAAATAACTAGCATGGAAGATGATACCGATGATGATGATATTCCGTTGTCAAAAGTAAATCCTTAAACGTAATCTATTGAGACTTTTCAAATAATTTATTTCCGTAGGTCCGATTAAAAGAAAAAAGCGACAAAAGTGACGACAGTTTTATCGATGGTTTGTTGGGAGATCTCTTAGGAAAGCTTCAAGAAGAAATCGATTCCGACAAGCGCTGTTACATTACCGAGGAAATAATAGCAGAATTAATAGAGTTAGATATCAACAAAAATCAAAGTGATGAGGATATGCTGTGTTCAGTGTCCCGTGCATTTGCTAATTGCATTATCGACGATTTACCAAGTGACAAAGTGTTTCCTGACGTGCTCAGTCAAGACAAGCTGACGGACAGTGTACGAAAGCCTCTTTTTGTTATCCTTAAGACTGTTTACGGGTATTCAAGTTCAAAAGATGACCAAACTAAGAAGAGCATTCTTATTCGTTTTCTAGCGGAGATGCATTCTCAGTTACCTTGTCTAGGTAGGTTTTTTGTTATAGTATACTGCACCGCGTATTATGTGATACGTACGTACATCTATTAGATTTACGCCTCTCGGCGGCTCCCCTCCTTGCGCCTTTGGGTCCTTACATCTCAAGCCGTTTCCAGTCAAAACCGACTAACTCCCGAAACCGCTATCAGCGAACACCAAACCCGTTCTTTGAAATCATCCACCCAACCAATTAGCGGGGGATGGGGAGCAGTAAGCTCTAAGTATTCCCATCCCGTTGTGCTTTCTGGCTTTTACATCTCCAACATTTACATCTCCGACATAAGCGTTGCTCAGCACAACAAATTGTGTTACATTTTTCCATAATATTAAGTATGACAAGTTCGTCCGTAAACCCTGAAGCTCGCCAGATTCTCTTCTCTCCTCGCTGACTTATCCCCAAAATTTCCCCAGCGTCTCCCAAAGCCTCCTTGGCAGAATCGATACTTCTTGGGCAATGTGCACATATTACGCCATACGATAAATGTGCTGTCCTTATCGGATAGTTATGCGTCAAGGGCTTTTAAACGCTCCAGCGCGTTCAATTTCTCTTTCTTTGGTTTTACTGAAGAGAGACTAGGACTCACGCCAGATGCGTTATTTTAATGAATGGAATAAATGAAGTCGCAATATATTTTTTTCTTGTAAAGCCTAGTTGGCTCACAAGCGAATTTTTTGAGAATATATTTCAGAATTATCCATAGATTCGATGTGGAAAAAAAATTGTAACATGTGTGGGTAGGCAACATGGCCAGTTTTTGTTGCCAACTAAAATTTGTACCATCAGTGCATTCATTTTAGGATTCGCGATTGGAAATTTGGGTATAAACAGAACCGATAACGATCCGAGATAAATACAAATTTATCAGTAGAAATGTAAATTTCTTTAGTTTTGGTAATCGGGAGTCATATGATGACTGCGCGACCTTCACAAACTTGCAATCCGAAGTCTGCCGTTTTGAATGAGGTGCGGCGCAGTGAGGCGCGATGAGTTATAACTCACCAACTCACAGATCCACATCAATTCAAATGCGCAACTCAATACAGTGTCACCCAGGCCTAGTGCTTGCCACTTTTGCACGGTTGTTTTTTAAGGCGTTTATAACAGACCCATCGCGAATTGCTAAAGCTTCTGCAAAAACTTTTTACATACCTACAACTTGATCAACTCCAATTGCATCCATTAACCAATAAATCCTAGTTTTTGAACGACGAGATTCATCATTTTTCGTATATTTTCTACTAATATTTGTAACTTCAATTTGGCCCCAAAGAAAGGTGTTTTTCTCTGCCCAAGTTAAATTGTCGTAGGCTTTAAAAATATTCGTTTTTCTATCAATGCCTATTACATGTAGGGCGGGTATTAGAAAGGTTGGGTTGAACCTCGGGCTGACCAACCGTCAGTTCACTTTTAACCGGCGGTTGACTTCATTTGTATATTATAAAAACTATTGAGCCTCGGGTTCGTCAATCGGGAGTTGACTTGTATTATCTAATGTTGGTCACATTGCGTGAACAGCATCCGCCAATCAAAATAATTGCTTTCTTGTCAGTTCCGAGAGCTTGGTACCTGTGTATATACAGGGTGATTCAAAATTGGCGTCATTC